ACCTGGGTGGTCACCCATCGACCGGCTGATGATTGACGTCCAAATAAGTTAGTGACTAAGGCTAACCACAAAGCCCCACTACGACTCATATTAAAATGATATAACTACAAAATGATTCAATATTTTTAGTTTATTTTAAACTAAATAACTATAACGTTCGATAATGTAAGTATAACAGCATATTAAACACGAGTGGTCGTAGCTGCAGGTAATAAAATATTAAAATATGAAGAGAATATGTTTCAAAACAAACAAAGAACAAAGTATGTTTGATTAATTTGAACGATTTCTAATCAACGACAAAAATATAAAATCGATTATCTTCTTGAATATCAAAGTCAAACCAATGTCAAAATGAATGAAGCGATATTGTTCAAGTTCTTATTCAATTATTATTATGAAAAAGGTATAGTCGTGCGCTGCTTTGTAAAGTCTGTGTTACTATAATAATTACTATAATATCTATACCTAATTATTCTTATATAATATAAGTTATAACTAATCTATTAAGTATAATAACTAATAAGTAATAGCATATTAGTATGCATAGCACAATGATTGCTATTAGTTAAACTTTATATGTAGTATGTACCTATCAAATGTACCCCCGTCAAACTACTATCGGATTTACAGAAAATGTAGGTTAGATTACCCTATTAAATATATTATAATATTCACTATAAACTCAAACCTGAAGTACAGTGTACAGTGTTGCACATTGTATCTGTGTATCAAGTTCCTATCTACTGCATCAGCGTAATATTTGAATGAAAATTCAACTTCCCACTTCCCAAAGTTCCATCATCGCAATTTACTTACACTTATTGTAAACCTAATACAAATAAGATGTGTTATAAACTAGTAAAAAAAAAAGTTACAACAGGTTATTATTATGCCTTTCACGCAGCATGACAAGACGTTTCACATTAAAAATATTTGGAAATCTGAAATCCTTTATGTAAATGTACCGAAATAACAAAAATTCGAAGTAACAACATTTTTTAAAACCATTTCTATTTTGCATGATTAATAAAAAATGGTCCATACATTTTTTTATAAAACTGTCACCATTATATTGACCACGTTTAACGTTCAATCATCGATTGTATCATCGTGTTTAGAATAGGTAGGCACACGTGACATATCTGTTATAATAATATTACGTTGTATAGGTATTATTCATATTATGTAGTTTTAATAAATGTTAATATTAAATTCCATACAAATAAAATGAACTATAATGTAATCATTAAGTGGTAATCAAGTGTTTTGTTATTTTTCGTATCTAATACGTATTCGATAGTTATAGGTGTTAGAAAGTGTCACTTTTTTGATCAGGTAAAATAATGGTCACACTAGGGGTTTCACCCCTTACACCGAACGGGTGTAATAACAATCATACTACGACGTATATAGGTAAATGATTTTACGCGGGACATTTTCCCCGCCCTCCCGGTCACCGCCGTGCGCGGACCTCACCTCGCTGTACAAAGGCGCCGCGCACGAGATCAATCACGCCACACACGCGGCGATATTTACACGTATACACATTATAATATTA